CATCACGTAAAGCGAGACGACCAGCTTCCAGGATACACCTGATGTGATGCTTGGCAAAATCCAGTGCTTCCTTGATAATTAGATAAAAAGCGGGTGTCACACGAAAGCGTGTGTGTACAGGCTAGTCAACGACCGATGTTACAAGCGGATCCATCAACGGGGATAAGGCTTCATTTGCATAGGACGAAAATGGCACGCATATACAGGGTCATTCACCTAACTAATTCATTAGATGTTCATAGGGAACCAATAGTGACATCAATCTGAAATTTTAGGTACAGCCATTTCGGTTGAACCGGAAGTGACATTGAGATCGTTTTTCAAATATAACCCCCTATACTTATTATTGCATTTTTAGATATTTCCTGAAGAGCTGATTTCAACTTTGGGCCTAGTGGGACAGGTTAGAGAGATATAAAGTGTTCAAAATCAAGATTTTTTAACTTTAGCATTGTTTTGTGTCGAAACAATTCATTATTGGTCAAAACGGCGTACATTTCCCTATTTTTTGAGTTACTATCTATTGAGATTTAATTGGAACAAATACACTGTGGTCCAATATTCAGAAATCTGATCACCCTGTATCTGTTTCAATAAAATGTCAGTTTCGATACAAAAAAATCCTAGAGTTGGAAAATCTCGATTTTGAACACCTTATATCTCTGTAACCATCCCCGCTAGACACCGAGTGTGATATATTAATGAAATCAGCTCTTCAGTGAGAATCTGAAAATGCAATAATATGTAGTGTAGTATATTTTAAGAAAACCGGAAATGGACCACATCACGCAATGGCTGTACCCAAAATTTGAGATTGATGCCTCTATATGTTCTATATAAACATCTAATGAATCACTTAGGTGGATGACCCTGTATGTATATGGTCGATATGGATGCTAGGAAAATTTATGGTCTCGACTAGCCGTTTAAGGTTACTTACGGTCTTTCCTGATGATGGCTCTTCACATGCACCTCTTTTGAATGCCTATTTACAGTGTCAGGATTTTATCATACAGTATGGTGCTGATATATGGAATAAATTCGAGTTTTCGATTACGATATTACGAATTCAACGATACAGGGTTTCATTATGAAACGTCAAACGACTATACAGGGTGTATCTAAATAACGCCGAAAAAATTGAAGGGATGATTCCTTTTGATATTTTAGCAAATAAAGTTCATGTAAACGTAACATGTGTCCTAACTTGCTCCGTTTTTGAGATACAGGATGTTGAAGTTGGAAGTATTAATTGTTTTAATTTCTAACCCACCTGTATAAGCTTTCATGGTGCCAAAATTCAGTATGGTTGGAGACTGAGAAAGCCCCAAAATTTCAAAATGATTGTAATTGAGGTTATTGAGTAATCTCAATGGAAGTCTTGAATACACCTATACATTATATTTGGAGTCGAATCGAATTTTTATTGTTTTCTCAAAAACTAAGCTAGATACAAAAATCACACATGGAATAAAAAATTTGTTATTTAAATAGTTCAATGTAATAAAAATATGAATCTCAGAAAAACCGGTGGTGAACAATGACATTCACTGTGACGCCACTGGCAATATTATTTCGAAACTAATTGAACTAGAAGAAGCTCCATATTACTATTAACCAAACCGCAACGTTTCATTGAAATTTATGAAAAGACAATTGAGTAATGAATAAAAAAACGATCTTTCATGGAAATATTGATATAGGTCAGAAAATGGATTTTCAAAGAACAAGGTTGATCTGTTTGAGGGTGAGTAAAAAATTAAATTCAATTTCAGGTCTATCCACTTTATCAAACAGATTTCTACTGATGCAGACATCCCTATTCGAATAATTGAGACCAGTACAACGATTCTCGTGTGTCTTCAATATTGTTGAAATTATATGTCCTAGTTTACCTACAAAATAATTATGATTCCCTAGTTTAGGATTACCACGAGGATTACCATACATGAATGTTTTTAAAATTTGATTGATGTTTCTAATTCCATTGTCAAGAAAGACATTCAATCAGTAAAAAAATATAGATGAAGGTACGCCGGAAGAATATATGACATTACCTTTTCTATCGATTGGCAAAGTCTTTCTATTTGAAGTTGTGACAACCTGCCAACCTTCCTTAATTATTTAAAAAAACAGGGTTTTTATCGTTTGGCAAGCATTTAAGAAGGGACCATCTCAGAATTGCTCTTTTGAAAATTTTGTAGATTTCTGTGTACATTTTTGTATATTATTTGTAGTGAGGTGTTATATGAATGGTTATTTCATTATTTGGGTGTAATTGCAAGAAATTAGGACAGACCTTGGGACATACTACGCCCATGGTGGGTTAATGATGAATGGTGATGTCGATATGAGCGAAAATAAGTCGTTAAATCGCAGTGCGTTATTGATTAGAACTATTATGATGTACAACGTGGGAACTCTCAGAGGAAGAGTTGCTTTCATAATAAATAACGAATGTTTTACAACAGCATTTTTTTATGAGAGGCTAATCTGGACCTTCTATCTATTATCATTCTCAAAATTCCAATATATATACACCCATTTCAATTTTTAATCGATTAATCAAATTATTTCATAGAATAATTATCCCTTGAACCATTGAATAAACGGTCGCTGATGATGTCAATCCGAGTATCAATCTCACCAGAAAAGGACCCAGTCTCCATCTTGAATATCCCTTAAGAATAATAATGAATAATCTTGAAACCATTAGATGCATTTTTGAAAAATCGATGCCATGAGACTAATAAACCTTATAAGCGATATCTTGAAATAAGTATGGAAATCGACACGGAATTCCATCCATGGAGAATATGTTATATTCGTATGTATATGTTACAGATGAGGTCTGGTATCTTGTAATAGGAGTATATATTAGCAGACATCTGATATGTTCCTGCAAATGCAATAAGCCATGTGGAAACGGACTATTTATTTATATCCTGGTATTAACAATCCTGTCAAATGACAGATTAAGGAGCTTTAATCCTTCGCTTCTCTTGTTTATTTTATTTTCTCGCTCGAATGAGTTCAATATCCTTTCAAACCTCTCTGAACTTTGCCATTTTTCTATTGTATTATGTTTCAAAATATTTTGCCAGTAATAGTAGTAGCAGGTAATTTCAATGTTCATAAACAAAACGTTATGAAGAATTGGTATAGAGTTGAGTTAATAATATTTAACAATTGAGGTGCGAGTGATATTCATTATCAACTCTGAATTACCATAGATGGAATTAGCGGCTGGGGACATTTAGTAATCATTTTATGAAATTCAATCTACAATAATTTTATTGCGGTAGTATAAGCACGATCCGAGGAAGTATGATGTAAGCACTGTAAATTCATTATGAAAATAATCGCGACCGAGAACAGCAAATTACTGGCATTCGAATAGATGAAAAAATATATTATTTCCACCGCAACACTGACATTGCAGCAGTATCTAGTTGGTATTTTCTTCTCCACCCTGTATACGCGCGACAGGAATGATACATAGACATCGAGTATTGTTAAGATATATGCCTATTTTTGTCCCAGAAGAAATTCCTAAGAACACGATTTGACCGACTGTTCTACTTGGTCAGCTCTCTCAGGGGCTCAGGGTATACCCGAGGGTATACCTATTAAATTTTTGCAGTCTTGGTGCTTCCACAATTTTTCGACCTGTATAAATCAACATGATTATAGGTTTGGATATTTTCTCACTTTGATAGCTACATTTTTAAGATTCGTTCTTATCAAAAAGGATATATATGATTGGCGCCAGGTTGTGTTTTTATCTTCTGACTTCAAATTTAGCTCGAAATTTAGAGAGTACTTACACTCATATTTTATACAGGGTGTTTCATTACTAATTGAAGATATATCAACTACAGAATCCTGAGCTCAAAATATGAAGATTTAACTCAAATCATCGTAGATGAAATATGTCTCCTGTCTGGGTTACAGGGTATTTCATTTGTAAATTTAAAAATTATTAATGCCTATAGTACTTTGAAACTTGATGAATGTTTTATTCGAAATTCTCCATGAATATATTGCTCAAAATTGGAGATAGTGGTGAGCCCATACCCATGCCAAAACTTTGGTGATAAAACTTTTAGCCATAATTCCAAAAATTCCAAAATTCCTTCGATACTCAGATTGGTTCTCTCAGACAGAGAAACGTGGTGGAGATACGTAAACGACATTTTCATTATTTAGCCACATAATCTTATGGAGCTATAACAAGTGTATATCGTAAAAAGACTCTACTGTCAGATACCACAATTTTCAATCAAATCATCAGGAAACTATCAAAAAAGGGATAATCAAATCACTTCATGATCGAGCCTAATCAATATCATCAACAAATTTTCAATATTGAAAAACACCACATTAAAAATGTCTCGAAAAATGTTCTTCAACACAAATCCTATCCTATCATTGATAAAACGATTCATCAAATTGAAAACAAACAAAATACAGCAAAATAAAAACAACCATCAATAACGACGAATTATACTACCGTACATTCCCGGAATATCTGAAGAAATAAAACGTGCTGGTGATAAGTTTCAAGTGAAAACTGTGTTCAAAACTGTAAATACAATGAAATTCATTCTAACTCAAAGCCGAAAAATGAAGAAAAATCATCCAAACATTGTATTTATAGTATACCTTGTGTTTGTGGAAAGTATTATACAGGTGAAACGAAGAGACCGCTCTCAGTAAGGCCGAAATAACACAAGTACAAGATCAAAAAGAGACATACCGATATATCAGTGAGAAGTGTCGAACTATAAGAGCACAACTTTCAAAGAAAAATATTTTTGCATTTTGATGTTGAGAACGAGAGCAGATTCGTTCCCGAAACGTCCAGATAGGTAAAAATTTGATATTTTTTTAATATATCTATATTTCTCTTCTTCAAACTTTTTTTCAGAGTGTCACTGACAAGCTATTAAATTTTTCTTTTAGGCTCTACAGACAGTATTTAAAGTTAGTAGTCGTACCAATTGGTTTTGGAGGAGTATTAATGATCCCTTGGTAAAACTGTGGGCATCTTCTCCTGCAGCTAGGCACCTGGCAATAAGGGCAGTAGTTGTTGCACCTCGACGGTATGTATACAGGGGGTATCCTGTACGCTGGCGGCGCGTAATCGGGCGCTACGTAGACCAAGTTTCCCCTGTAGTCTTGTTGGTAGGAAGATATACCTCGGAAAGGTAGGTCCCTTCTGCATCTCGATTTACGATGTTTGTGACGATGTCTGGATTTGAACTCACTCGAGCTATTTGGTACACTCGCACTGGTTAAGACGTTCGAGTTGGGCACTACACTTGAGTTTGATGGTGTTTTCTCGTTTATGTGAGGGTTCGACACATCACAGGTGGTGAGAAATGTTGTGAATGCGAGGAATAGCGGAATGAGTTTCTCCCTCATTATTTCACGTCGCGGGAAAGTCTTTAGATGAATCCATATTTCGTGACAGACACAACTAGACAAACGAACTATTCAATGAATTTTGGCGAGGTAGGTTATTTACTTATTGATATAACCTTGATATGAAGCTAGAGATAACGATAGGGAAATGTTATAAATTTGTTTGATTGAAAAATATTCGTGAAATCCATTATACAGGGTGTGGCAGTTTTTCGTAGCAAGAAAATACTATTGAAGATATAAAACTCGTAATGGAAAAGTTCCATGAGTGCGTAATTACTCTACAACACGCATCACGTACTATACTTTACCTACTGCAATATAGTACATCAAAAAAGTTTGGACAAACAGTCTGAATTATAATTTTTGACAGTTATGTCATTTGCTGTTGACGTCGAATAAACGAAAACTGTGCGATGTGCTTACTGTTAGTAAAGAGCTACTTACTGGGGCTGTATCTCGTGTAATCTTGCCTACTTTCTATAGTGGCCGTAGGTAAATATAATATATGCGCAGGAGCTCATTTTATTACATACAGGTGGTGTGATAATTTCATATATTTTTTGTGTTTTTGTAGTTTTGCTGCTGTGTTTCATTAACACATCTTTCGTTCATTTCAGGTCTTTTAATCGATTATTGAAAAATGTCAAATAGATTGTGTTTTATCACAAGTAGATTATTTTCTGGCATTGATTTCGAATCAGTTTTTGAAAAACATATAAGAGAGCAAAAAGTATATCCAAATGAAAGAGAAAATCTAAATTCATGTTTCATCGAGTGTTTCATTGAATGCAGAGGCAGCACGTAGAAAAGTTCAAGAGGGTTGAATTTTGAATTGGGTACAACGTCCAAAAGTGTATCACTCTGTAGGTAATCGAAATCGGCCCTAAATATTGAGATTTTCAAGTGTGATATAGGTATACCAAATTTAAATTCATTATTTCGAAAATTGTAGGAGAAAACTAGAAAAACTTTTGAAAAATCTCAAATTTTCACTACCTGTATATCGGGAACGAAGATCACACGAATATATGTTCACATGAAGTTTTCATCTCAAAAGTATGCATTCTTCAAGCTGTTGAAGTCTTGCTACAAAAAACTGAATCATTCTGTATTTTATTTTCTCAATAGACATCGATAAACATAATATGATCGATCCAAAGCCTCACATTTTAAGAAATTGTTCTTTTCACAGAGACATCATCATTCTTGAACAAATTCTAACTCCAAATGCGAGAAAATATACAGGGTGACTCGAGGGGTGACTGGTATGGAAACGTATTATTTTTAGGGTGTGTTAATAGAGCCCGAAGGGAATTCCAGATGAAAATTTCTGTGTACAAGAATGGGAATTTATTGGGAATTGCGTGAATTCAATCTTCAGTATTTAATGGAGATTAGAGGACGGATGTGAGAAATCAAGGGGAATACGTGTACAGAATCCACATTTGTGAAATGCCTCTCCTCTCGGTAGAGCCCATCTGCAATAAATTTAACCATGGCTACTCAACGATTTTTGAAATATTGCATAACTTGTGTAGCTTTTTCAATAAATCGCCGTTTTTTACAATACTATTCAAATTCAATTGAACAGGCATTTTTTTTTTTTTAGTTTTCTGTTCTATCACTTGCTTCACAATCTAAAGAAGACCAATCAACCAAACCAAAATTAATTAAAATATTTTGGTGAAATCGAAACAATATAATATGATGGTTGAATCAATTGCTGATGTGGTCTACCAATATCACATTGAAGGATTTAATAGTCAACCTGTATATGAGAATACACATTATTTGGCGATTATTTTAGAACCTGAAACATTTTTTATCTGATTTTATCTTTCGTAAAATCAAGTATCAATGGAAACAATGATAAACTGATAATTGAAAGTGAAATGCCATCATTGAGGTTGTATTAACGAAGTATAACTGGACATTTTTTAATTTTTTCTCAAAAAAAAAATCTCGTCGATCATATTATGACATGAATTCAGATATTCTGGAATAATACAACCACTGTAAAAAACACCCTATCTTATGTATCAAACATTTACCTCTAGTCTCATACCCTACACACCATTAAGTATTTTCAGCGACAACTGACATTTTACCAAGTCGATATATATTTTTTTCTACATTACGCACGTGCCTGCGCGCACACCCGACTTAGCACCGCTCGACCCCAATGACTTGTAGCCGCCTTTGAGCGCGCGATCCGACTGAATCAAATCTAGCCGGCCTGGTATACAGGGATCGCGTGCTTCGACTGTTTTTCTCTGTTTCTCGCGGTTCCGCTAGCGGCTCCTTATCTCGTCCAGAGGACGGGCCATTGAAGTACGATGCAGGTACGATTTTATACAGGGTGTTCTTGTCGAACAGCTCACCCTGAATAGAGTCATGTGCAGGAATGGAAATCCATGTGGAAGTGTCGTGAGAGTGTCCTGTGAGAATTGTAAGTATCCATCCATCCATACCGCCTTCTCTTCCAGGGCTCCAATACCAGCCAGGCAAATCAGAAACGAACGAGGAAGAAATGTTGATAACATGAATATGGACTTGGCAACAATTCTCGAATGGGGATTCAATAACTTCGTAGGTTCAATGCAAACAAAACACAAGTATGCCTTTTCTCTAGAAAAGCCGATCTCACTGTACCGATCGAACATAAGATTGACAGGAGTAACCATACCTTTGAAGACATCCATTTCGATGGTTGGTATTACTATATCAGCAATAACCTTTCTTGGGAAAAACACGTAAGATCAATTGATAAAAGTGCATCCCAAAAACTTGTTTTTCTGTTTCGGACCAGGAGCAATTTCACTTCCAGTCAGCTGCTTATGATCTGTAAGGCACAGATCCTACCTGTCCTGGAATACTCTTCCCATATTTGAAATGCAGCACCCAAATATACCCTGGAACTGTTAGATTTTGTCCAAAAAAGGTCAATTCGTCTCGTGGGTGATGCCTCGCTCACAAACTCACTCACTTCTCTGGAACACCTTTGAAAAGTTGGCGATCTGGCTCTATATTATAGATATTTTCATGGACGATGCTCTTCTGAAATACCAACAATTGTACCTCCCTTGGCAGTCCTCGCGAGATTAACCCGTCGAGTTGAGGCTTCGCACCCTTTCGTGGTCATTTGGAGACCTGCAGAACATCTCTCTCCAAAAACTCGTTCATCCAACGATCAGCGAGGCTCTGGAATACATTGCCAAGGCAGGTGTTCCTCGAGGCATATAACCTCGAAAAATTCAAGGAGAACACCAATTACTACTTATTTTCCTTGGTTCTCCCGATGTTCTCTGAGCATTACAGGATTTTCCTTTTCGTGGGAACCAAAAAAACTTGTAGTCGCGGTTTTCCTGAATGAAGAAATATACTGTTTATGTTGAGCAAATTCATGTCAAGAAATTTCAAGAAACGAAGCAAGCAAGCCAATTCATTTAAGACAAGTGTAAATTGCTCCACTTAAATGAATAATTCTTGTACAAAGCAATTTAATTTCGAGAAATTGGATTGTTTGATCGAAGAAATCCTTTTTATTTGTGTAGGAATTACTTTTGTTTATATATAAGTTCCGATATCTCGAAACCGTGAGATTTTTACAAAGGTCAAGTTGCGATTTTCTGATAGTTTATGAACTTGTTTATCACCAGCTAGAGTATGATCCATGGTTTACCGGACACCTTGTATCGCTAACATTGGACATCCTGTATATCGGGTACGCCTCTTAGGTTGGGTGTCGAGTAACGGCGCGTAGTTTTGGATATCGATTAGTGATCGATCAATCAGCGAGGATGCTGATGAAAGTATTTCGCGAAAGTCGATCGCGGGCGAGTGGAATGATAATGAATTATTGGCATTCAATTAGGTACTCCACTGTGTCGTTAGGGAACTAAATTAATTTTTGCACGCTTTTTTCATCTGAATAATGAATCTATGCGTTGTTCAAAATTGGCCACAATTAGGCGATACTTCGAATAAATGGCAACGTTAGTTTCTATGATGTTTCGTTATTGATCAGATAATCTTCCATTTCCACTCATGAAGCAATGTTGGCAATTCACCAATTATAATCGAGTCCTGTCGTTGAATAAGACACGAAATAAAACATAATATAAGGAAGCCATTTTTCGAGCAAGCAGCATGTCTAAATATCTCTTATACTCCATAACAAAATATCATGTTGATGTTGAAGACTTGGCAACAATGTGCTGAATGCTGAGAACTGACAAGGCACCGCCCACAATTCGTGACACCTTGTTGTCACGTTTACCCTCAAATATCCTGTAGCCTCAGCCACAACAGATGACATATTTTGAGACAATTGATTTTTTATGTCTAATTAGGAATATAACCAATACAAAATCGAGAATTCATGGACTAGGTATTGAATAATTAATATTTCTGAAGTTCCAATCGTATGTCAACACATGACATCTGTGCTATGGTCTGTCCCTATTTACGAAATTGTGACGTCAGCTTTTACTCGCGGTAAATTTTTAGCTGTCTGAAAATTACCGTGGCATTATTGTTGATTTTAGCACCTTATTGAAAGGTATTTGAGCGATGATTCAATTTAAGAAATAAAAAAAGAATGTTCACTCGCCTAAAGGGTTAATTTTTAAGCCGTATATACCCAGCGGGCACAAAAATCCCTGGGACGTAGCATGAAGATGTTTTTGTTGAAACGTAATGAACACTTCCCAAAGAGGTCTTTGAAGGATATTGAAGTATTGTTTTTGTTCTGTGGCATTTCTTTGTATGCTTATAATAAGAGGTATCCCTGGGATGTTTTTGAAATGTTCTGAAAATTTAGGCATCAGGATGTTTTTTTTAAAACGTAATAGATATGCACTTCCCGAAGGGGTCTTTGAAGGATAATGGAAAGTATTATTTTTGTTCTGCTGTGCCATTTCTTTGTTTTCATGTTTACGTCACAATACGATGAATTCTGATCTGTTTCCGATTTTGTTGTTCTTGTTCGCATTCGCGTTTGCAGCGTCTTTTCATTCCATTATTACAATACTATACGACCTCCTATTTTTCTCAGAACAGAAGCAACGACAAATAGGTATATTATTCATTTTAATTAAAAATTACCAGACGTGTCGTTCATAATCCTTGATATTATCCCAATCAGCACAGAATATTTTACGAATATTCTGACAACGTTCAGACGGTTCAGAACGTTCGTACTTATTTCAGAATATTCTGATATAATGTTCTCAGAATGAACTTTCAATTTGACATACCTATTCTCAGAATATCCTGAGAATATACAGAATCGTATCAAAATATGATGGATGTTATTCTTGTATCAATATTTATAAAGTTTCTCCTGACTCACCCTATTATTCACTAGCCTCAATGCTGATTATTATCCTACTCTACTATTATAATGAAGTGCATGTTGATATCTTCCTATTCATATCATTCATCAATAAGGTTCCTATTGCGCAGAGGACAAGGTGTAAACATTCAATCTCAAGCGAGTAAGTTCGATTCCCCAACGGGGAAAGCTCTTTTTTAATTTCTTTTTTTATATAATATACCCACTAGGAATGGTTATGTTGTGTCCATGAGAAGGGTATCAAAATAATCAGGGAGATGAAGTTCTATTCATGTGTGAACTGGACATCGCAGTGGAGGTTCAATGTCTTGACATCTCGTACTTTTAACATATCTGAGATGTTTTGGTGCTCGTTATGTACAGTGTGTCCATTTTGTGCGTTGTTCATCGACATCTCGTCTACTATTGAAATTAGAGAAAATTTGAGATGATGTGTACAGTTTTTTGAGCCACATACTGCAAAATTATCTATACTCATCATAAAATCTAGGTCTCATTTTTGTCAATGAAACATTTGGCACATTCCATATTGCGGCACATTAAGGAACATCTAAGGAGATAATTAACTTCCTCTGAATTATTTATCGCCCCAATTTGGGTTGAGGTCAAGAAGCTGTATTTGATAAATAAATGTCGGCTATGTTTTGTGAGCCAGCAAAAAAATATCCCATGTTAACAGCATCAGTACCATTCGTAAATTTTTCTGTCAGGTCATCAAAAACAATATCGATGAGAAAATACTCCTACAGACATCAAACAAACTGGGATCAGATTCGAATTGTGAAACAAGATGTTATGGACGAGTTACTTAATGTGTACAGGGGCTTACGAGTTTTTTTATTTTGATTGTAGATGTGGATTTTGCATTTTGGAAACGAAATTTCATATAATTATGATGAGTACTAGAAATGTGTGGAATGTGATAAAATAAGCATATTTTGATAAATGTTGATGATGATGGTGATGAAGATGATGATGATGTTGTTGATGATGGTAGAAGATAGATCAAGTTCATTTTAATTCAATTTTTTAATGAACGAACTTTATTGAATGAGTATAGATACTCAAAAGGCCATCGATCGAGGTCCTTCGTCAGTCACATCTCAAGTTATTATTTCAAAATTATGGAAGGAATACGAATAATTTGTGTTTCCCATCGGAAATTATCATCACAGCAAAAAACTAACCCCCTTGCTAGGGTAGGTAGACCACTACAAAATAAGTTGGGTTTTTTGAAACACCCTGAATAGTACTTGTATGTGAATATGTGAAAACGTGCCTCTCTGATATCTCGTTTCTCCTATAAAAAAATTCTCAAAAGATTTTCAAGGTGGCTCGTTTCAAACTATAATATTCAGATTCAAGACTAGTAAACAATGAAGGAGGATCATTTTGTACATTTCTCGTACATCTCTTGCTCCACTGTTTTTTTCTACACCGCGAGCATTTCAGCTAGCTAATTTGTGTCCTCCGGCATTTGGTTTTTCTTGGGTGGTCCAGCCAGACGTTGGTTCGAATTAGCTGTTGCATTCATACTTCAGGAAATCGGTTTGAGGCTACGGAGCACGCAAAAATCTATGAGTTTGTGGTTGAAAATGGCGATGGTCGGTCATCTTTGATAGAGATTGAGAATTACATTATCATATTGAATGAATTATTCTTCAGTTCCCTCAGATAGATAGGTAAATACCTACATTATCAAAAGAAGGTTGATTTTACCTACATGTAAAAATGTAAAATCTCGTAAAATAAACAAACCGAAATATCACCACCAGAAATTGGTATGACTGATTCACTGGGTGATCACAAAGAAGTTGTTGGACTCGAAGAAGTATATCAGGTGAGACAATAAAACAATGAGA